GTAAGGGGGGGGAGGGGGGGAGCAGAGAGAAGGTGGCTTTAAAATCCAGCCTTACATTCCTGGTGTCTCTTTGGGCAGTAAAACGTGTGACTCCTCCTCTACCTCCTCCACCTCCTTCTGTGTTTGTTTTCTGACTCCCTCCTTCTTCTACAGAGTGGAAGAGCAGCCTCAGTGGGAAGTACCATTTTTCAACCACAGGGGGAGTTTTATGCAAAGTTCAACAGGCCTACGTGCAAGAGCCCTGCTGCCTCCCCCTCTACTGGATCTGTTAGTGGGCAGGCCTGAAGGGGAGGAGAGAGGTTGGGGGGGTGGCAGGGGGGGTGTAGAGAAGAGTGAGAAATGCGTTTTGGAAACCAGCTGATCGGAGCTGTGGTATTTTGCCACAGAGGCAGAGGAGAGAGGAACTGTGACAAGAGAAAAGAGAAGACAGAGACAGATCTATATCAGGATTAGAAAACTAAAGAGTGGAAACATCTCAGCATTTTATGGAAACTGGGAACTCACGTGAAGGGAGTAAGCCTGTGGAAAATGTGAGAGCATCTGGGAGGGTGGAAATCTGAGGAAGAAACACACAAAAAAGGATCAGGAATAAACAGCAGTTCTTCCCCTTTACTGGATCCACTGAGGGGTGAGGAGCCCTGAAGAAGCTGTAGTGATGTCTTGGCTGTCACCTGTGTCGTGGGCCAAGTGGACATGGACAGCAGTGCGAGGGGGAGATGAAGGAGAAGAAGATGAAGAGGGGCAGGAGGCCAGCGAGGAGGAGAGGGAGCAACGTGGAGAGGGACGGCAGGAGGAGGAGGAGGAGGAGGAGATATCTCAGGCTTGCAGGCAAGTGTTTGCTGGATCTTGGAGGCCACTGTGATTCACAGGTGGACATGTCTTCTGTGTCCATCAAGTGGCAGAATCCCAGTGAGGGTTTGATGAAGGGGACAGAAAAATCAATCTGTTGTGTTCTGTTGTGATGTGTGTGACGTACTTGCTGTGGTGGTGATGTAGTGTGTTGTCAGCACCTTGTTTTCATTTCTGTGGCATCACAGCAATGAAACACACACCCAGCACTGAAACAGGGTAAAATGATGTAATCATGACATCATAGTGAATCACACAACAGCAAGTGCTCTTATACAGCCATTTATTTGTGCTTGTATTTCTAACATTAGCATTAATACTTTATTGTTATCTTTGCTGTGTACTTCCTCTTCCTCTCTTTTTTCCCCCTGAGGTGATACCAGTACAGTGGTGTGAAGTGAATATACAGAAATGGTTGCTATTTACTGCTTTAGTAGTTATACATCCAGAGTAATATCAGTTAGTTACACAATGTAAAGGTTGTTGGTACAGGAAATAGCAAGCTACTAGACCTTCACTTCCTCCTCATGTCTTCACTCTCACACAGGAACCAGAAGACATTTCACTAAACACCATGGCTGCGTCTGAGTCAATACTGCTGTTGAGCAAATGTCATGCATATTCTGTGGTGGTTTTGCACCCTCGCCCCTCCCTGAATCTCTCCACAACACACTTATTTTGGCACATAGCAGCTTTGCCACAAGCCATTCAAGCATTTGTTAAGCTCCTTTATTGTCATCATAGTGGTCATAATGTATTTGTGATTGTTTATGTTTAACAAAAAAAGGTCAGCTAACTTTATTTTTTTTAAATAATTAAACATCTTCACTTACTGCCTTTGTCCTGATTCTGCTTTTTACAGCAGTACTGTATCCACTTATCTTTACAATAGATTTTTAGATTCACACACATCATGAATAATTCTGTAACTTCTGTCCCGTTTGAGGCCCAGGTTCCGGTCTGTTGCTGCTGACACGTCCTATTATTTGTTTGAAATGCCGTACGCCCAGTGTTTCTATTAAGGTCACCACTCACGTTATGTAACAACTTTTCTGTTGTCGTCTCTCATCTCATGGATGTTTGGAAAACTCACACTCTCTCTCTTTCTTTCTCTCGCTCTCTGACTACCACAGCTCTGACTCAGAGGGTAATTTTGGCACCCCCGAAGCTGCGACTCCTGCATGGTCCAGGGAGAGCTGGAGAACATCGACACTGATGCTGACAAAACAGGTGAGGCTGCGCAAAAAGACAGGCAAACAGACAGACAGACAGACAGACAGACAAAGAGAACAGTGAGAACAAACAGCTTACATAAGCATCCATGATGTATTTACACTCTGGAAACACCTCAGGGAAACTCAAGTTTACCCTCTGAATAACAAATACTGCTCTCTCTTATATTTTTAGTGACGGTAATAACTGATCTCACATCACGATTGTGGGCATGTGCAAAATGTAACATTAAAAAAATAAATAAAAATGAAATACACTTTCATTTACATCTATGATGTCTGAACTAAGTACACTGTGTATTAGTATGTCCATGCGGTGAGTAATTGGATACATATGCAGACTGCCGTCTCAGGAATGTACCTACCGACTCTCTCAAAGAGAAAATAACTCCACTCCTCCACACGAACGAAGCATTAAATCAAAGTGTGATGCTTTATAACAGTAACACTACTCCAGGTTACCTAATACTTCAGTATGTTCAGTATGGTATGCAAACAGGTACATAGTATAAGCAGGGGTTGGTTACATGGTGTGTTAATGGAAGATAGACTGTCACTGTCATCGCATGGAGAGAGGAGGAGCCTGAAGCAGAGTGTGGGAAAGGCCTTTGCTCTGGAATTCAACAGGTTGAACAAAAGCAAGAGTTTGACCTATTTCTGGTCAATGGTAAGGGTCACAGGGAGAGGGTGACTGGACGTAGCTTCTCACTATTTACCACAGCTAAATACCCTTGTTAAACAACTACTTTTATATGCATTTATGTTACACATTTGTTTACATGCTGCTGCTACTTTTTGGATTTACAAACCTGTGGTAAAACAGCTCCAACAACATTTTGTAGAAGTGAGTATTGCACAGGTCAGGCATAATGAGGAGAGGAGGGAGTTCACCTTTGTTTAACCACAAACATCCCTCCCTGCAGCTATGGCTGTTGGAGGAAGATGTTTGTGTACAGGCAGAAAGGGAACTGTTGTTTCTCTCTACATATCTTTGGACGTAAACAAAACTAAAGCTGACTTTTTAAAAAAAAAAAACTTTTTTAGACTTTTTTAAGGTTGGGTTTAAATATATGCAATAAACTGGAAGATATTGTTATACGGGTGGCATAGCTCAGTGGGTGATAGGGTGATGAGCTCAAAGCAGTAAAAAGCTTACAGTCAGTTAAATTTTTTTATCTTAAAAAATAGGAAAAAGTTCTGTATTAAACAAAAATAACTTATGATGCAAAAAAATATTATGTAACATTGTTATTGCCCTGAAAATGACTCTGAGCAGTTAACCACAGCTATTTATCACTGCTATTTGTTAAAAAAATGTTTGTTTTTTTATTTTGTATTAATGGAAAAAGAAAACACATGAATATATAGATGGGCATGTTAGACAGTGGGAGTAACAGTGAAAATGACAACTTGCAAATGTCGATCCGAGCAGACAGAAAAAATGCAGGCAGTGCTTTGTCTCCTAGCAACAAAATATTACATGAATACATGTGAGTATGACAGACTTACAGAAATATGTTGTTGAGGAGTCCAAAGGAGACGAGGTTATGATTGCAGTATAACAACTGCTGGTATCATTGTCTTTAGTGTGTCATTTCATTTGTATTTATTTTGTTCATTGGAGCTGTTGCAGCTCAGAGCTTAAACTCATCTGAATGAGAGGATCCTAAAAAAAAACGCCTACTGGCTGTTTTCTGTACAGCATGTTCAACATTTACTCATACTACACATTAGTACAACACATATCACTGACATACAGTGTGATTGTCAAGAAGCTAAACATGTCCAAATCATTGACTGCAAACATACAACACAAGGGAAATCATAAGACTTATATCTGGTTCTGTTGTGTAGATAGATAAGGTTTGTTAAATGGAATGCTCCTCATAGTAAGACATCACCATGGCAACAGCAGCCTGCAGAGCAGCTGGTTGGATAGTAACCCACTTACAGAGAACCAATCAGATGTCATCAACTTATGAGTTGAGATCTTTGAATACTTTGCACTTCAAATATGAAAATCATTGTAATGTATTTTGAATGTTAAGTGTTGGTACTAAAGTTTTTATTTTTTGCATTTCTTTTTCAGACTTGGATCAGGAGGAACACCTGATAGTGACTGTCCCTGTCCAGGATCAGGGTGATTTCTTGGACCGCAGGATGGGTCAGGACGAGCCTGCAGTTCCCATGGGTGGTCCATTGGAAATAAACATCCAGGTTGAGCAATGTGAAAATCTTCAAGATGGTTTTGGTTCTGTGCCAGTCCCTGAATCATGGGCCATCAAAGAAACTCCTGAATGCAAGTCAGTATTTCCTGAGTCATCCCTGGCTCCAACAGATTCTGTCCTCAGTCCAACTGCTGCTCCAGCTTTTACACTTGCTCCTGCTCCTGCCTCACACTCATCTCCAGAGCCACCTCCTTCTTCTTGCTCAGCCCCAGCTCCTGCTCTTGATACAGTCACTATTCCGGCTGCTTCTCAAGCTTCCACTCCAGCTACAACCACAGCTCCAGCTCCACCTTTATCTCCAGCTCAAGCTTCATTTGCCACCCATGGCTCCGTTACTCCTCCAGCTCCTGCACCAACTCCTGCTCCTGTTACAGCTCCAACTCCTACTATAGTCCCTATTGCTGCTTCAGTTTCAGAGCCACATGTTGACCCACCTCATGGTATAGATTCTGCTCCAGCTCCAGCTCCAAACAAAAAACAAGACACTTTAAGACCCAGTGATCTTGAACCCCGCCAGTGTCTGGAGGTTCCTGGAGAAAGCCCTGTTGTTGTTCCAGAACCAGATTGTAATGACTCTCCCAAACAGCCAGAGCCCACAAGAAAGACTAAAATTGATGTATCTAAGCCCTCATCTTTGAAAATGAAGGCTCCACCACCTGAGATTGAAAGCACAAACGAGGAACAAGAATTCCCTGCTCCCAAGGCCATGTACAACTTTGACCCAGACAGTATGGATTTCAGCTTTAATCCTTTTATCAGTGGTGGGTCAAAAATACCCAACTCTCCTCCACCCTGTGGTTCCAATGACTCACCAAGACTTGAGCCACTTGGTTGCTCAACACCTGCCTATGAGCAGAGTACAACACACGTGGGAGAGGTTACTGAACCTATATCAGAGACAAAACCAGTGATGCTGGAGTTTGGTCTGGATGATGGGATGGCAAGCAAGCCCCCTCCAAGGAAACTGGGCACAAAAAAGACAATCAGCAAACTTGGAGCTAGGAAACAGAAACCCAAAGGATTGGTGCCTCCCTCCAAACCTGCACCTAAATCCACAGGGTCAGAACCAGCATCTCAAACAGTAACAGAGCCTGTATCCAAGACCATGTCAGAACCAACTTCAGCTCATCTTCCAGAAACTGTTGTGCCACTTTCAGAGTCTTCTGCACCACTGAACCTCGACGACATTCCTATACCCAAGGCGGGATCTTATAACTTTGACCCCAACCAGTGGGAGGACCCGGATTTCAATCCTTTTGGTAGTAATAACAAGATGAGCAGCTCCCCAGTGCTCCCTAAAGGACCCTACAGTTCTGACCCAGAGAACTTTGACGACTCAGCGAACCCTTTTAAACCCACCAATAGCCTGAATACAGAAGGCGCAACCGGTGTTGCTGCACCGGCTGAAAACAAAGTGAAGGACATAGGCAAACAGAAAGTCAGGAGCTTGTCTGATGAAAAGAAACCCAAGCAGATTCCCAAAACAGCCAAAGACAGGACAATGGAGTAAGTCCACTGAGGAATTATATTGGATTGAGTTTCTCTGATTTATGGGTGTTAGTGTCAAAGGTCAAGAGAAGAACAACATTAGACTGATCACCTCATTCACACACACACACACACACACTAAACACTACATAGTGACCATTGATGCAATTCCAAAATAGGTTATACTTAGGCTGTGAGAAGAGTTCTGAGTCTTTAGTATGTAAAGGACCCAGAGAATTTTGTGTTAATGCTCACACTTTAAACTGCACAGCATGTCTGACATATTGACCTGAGCTCATGTACTGCAGTCACTCATTCCCTCCCTCTATGTATCTCTCCGCTTCCCTTTTTTTCCATATAACTTCCTTGCCATTTCCAACCGACTTATCCTTTCCCCTTCTTCTCCCCTCTGTTGCACAACCCTCTACTTTATTTTTTCCTGCCTCTGTTGACCTCAGGACATCTAAACAAGTCAAGTTTCTCTGTTTTCTGTTGTAAGTACTCTCACTCTCCTTGCTGTCCCCCATGCATGCTCACTCCCCCATCCAAGTCTTGCCATCCATGCATGCAACGTGTCACAAGTGACTTTGGAGAAAGTGTTCCTCAGTTTTAGCTCATCATGCAAGACCATTCTCTTAGGGTTGAATATGTCACAGTCTTTGTGATCTCCTTGAAGTGACCTAAGAGCTTGCTTGGCGTTCCTCAGTGTTTTATGCAATCTGTTGCTGCTCATCATCTGGTACTGGGCCATGCAACAATGCACATTTGTAGTTGAATGGTTGTAGAATATGTAACCACTGTAATAATGTTATGTCTTTTTTTTTCTTTCTAGGAACTCCTGCAAGGTGCAAAAATATGACGAAAGCCAGTCGTTGGTACTCGACGTGTGTAATCAGGTACAGCAATTTTTGCTTTGTGTTGCCTTGTGTTGCCTTGTTGTTGTTGACATCATTATAACATCATTGTTTTAACTACATTATCCTCAGTTATATATACAATATTTAAGAATCACTTTTGACCACATCATTAGTACACAAAATGACTTGACCCAAACATGCATGCCAGATGAGAACCCTACCATTGCACCTTTTATTACAGAGAAATAATAACAAATTTTAAATTAAAATTAAATTTTTTGTCTTTTTGTCTATTTCTAGGCAACTTTACGTTATTTAAAGGGTAACTTTACCTTTATTGGGCAGTTTTTTATTCTTTCATTTGGCTAATTTGTTCAACACTAATTGCGGCTTAATTTACCAATTTTTTCCCCATTTTTGACTATTTTAATTTCATTTTGTAAATACCATACACTGCATGGCCAAAAGACAAAGGAGTTATGCTACTATGCTACCCTGGCTGGCATTTTCATACCACAGCTAACTATATCATGTTAAGACACATGGAAATTCCCAATCATAAGGATTTTATGAACAAATTTACCCCATATTTTATTTTCCCTTGAAATTTATAACAGATGAAACACTTAATTAAAAAACTATTCTCTATAAATCGTGTAAATGTCCTCCATCTCTCGTTGTATGTTTGTGGTTGTGAGTACACTTCAGTTACACTGCAAAGTCCATTATTCAGCAGCTGTCAGGCTTTTTAGCCTCACTCTCTCTCCCTTTCTCTCTCTTGCACTCTCTCTCTCTCTCTCCCTCTCTCTCTTTCTGTCTCTTACACACACACTCACACACAGAGACCATCAGCAGTATCTGGTTCTAACTTGGCACTGTAAAATATCTGTGACTAATCAGACTGCTCTCAAATGTTGGTCGCATTCCCACATGACCTCAATGTTATCACCATCTCCAACCTCAAGCCTCTAGATGGTGTGCTGTACAGCCATGCTGTTTTGACCAGTTTATTCATAACAATGAATCATTCATTCAAAAAAATCTTACCCTGCTCTTTTGACTCTAGGAAGAAAAGGTGGTTCAGACCCCAGAAATCAACCAGCGGGTTCATCATGCCACAGATGAGGAGAAGCTGGCATCTACTGGTGTTAAGAGTCGAGTGACGGACATCCAGGAAGAGAAAGCAGCACTTGATTTTGAAGAAGAACCTTTGAAAACACTGTCAGTCGTCGATTTAGATGGTGAGTATTGAATTGTAATACCTGGCTGTTTTTGAATGGTGGTTCCTGATTTTGTTTCTGCACTGCCTATTTTAGTTGATGGGGCTATTAAATTAAAAGTAAACATCAGAAGTTAATACAAAATCTTTCACTGAAATCTCTAATTACAATTGCTGCTGAATTTTGTGTTTTAGATTCCGAGTTCAAGATTTCCAGTCAGCTGGAGGACACCAGCAGTCTGAAGGACAATGTAGTGAGTACAGACACAAGACCTGAAATAAATATTTCGACATTATTTTTGACAAGAAATCAATAATATTGTTGTCCAAATGCCCCTCCATGTTTTCCCAATTGGTGACATGGAAGTTTTATTGACAAATATAATAGTCAGTGTGTTTTTCCTGTTGTCAAGATCAAGACATCTATGAACCAAATGTCAAAAGTGCCCAGCAGTGATGACACTGACATTGGATTTCTGACCAAGCACAACGTTCCTCAGAGTGAGATGGACAAGGCTGCAGTTCTCACCCTCATCAGAGAGGAGGTGTGTCTCTCACCCATTTCCATTGAAACATTGCAATTCTATAGGAGGCTTTTATTGGCCAATCCAGCTGTCATGATTGACAGTAGGATCAACAAGATAATTGCTTAGATTTTTATAAACTTAAATAAATAATAAAATGTATTAACTTCCAATCGTACAAATCACTTCTGGCTGACTTCCTTGGCCTCATCATTGCAGAAAAAAATGTTATGAAATGCTAAGCAATATCTTTTCTTTTTCATATTTTTTTGTGCAGATTATTGCTAAAGAAATTGAGGTGAATGAGTGGAAAAGAAAATACGAGGAGAGCAAAGCAGAAGTTTTGGAGATGAGGTTCGCGCTTCTCTGCTTCACATACAGTGGTAATGCTTAGAAAAAGTGCTCAGAGACTGCTCTCTGTTTTTGTATTAACAGGAAAATTGTAGCTGAGTACGAGAAGACGATTGCGCAGATGATTGGTAATATGCTGCCATCAAGTGGCTAAAGTTGTTATTCATTTTGTTTGTATATCCTCTATAGAAATCTTGTATTTATTAATCTTGTGTGAGTCTGTTGTCTGAGCATTTTTTTTTAAATTAAATTAAAGATTTTATTTTTATAATATTATTTTGGCAACAGAGGATGAGCAGCAGCACAAAAGCCTGTCCTCCAGTCATACACTGAGGCAGTTGACCTTAGAAAGGGATCAGGCTCTAGCTGATCTCAGCTCAGTGGAGCGTTCCTTTGCTGATCTCTTCAGGAGGTATGAGAACATGAAGGGGGTTCTGGAAGGCTTTAAGAAGGTAGGACAAGCTTCTAACAACGCCTACTATACAGTGTGCAGTGTGGTTCACAATTCTTTAATAATGAATGCCTTCATGGCTGCAGAATGAGGAGGTGCTAAAGAAGAGTGCACAGGATTACCTGATGAGGATCAAGCAGGAAGAGCAACGGTACCAAACCCTGAAGGTGCACGCTGAGGAGAAACTAAACAAGTACGTAACATGAACAAGACATTAACAAGTGTTGATCAAACCAAAGAGACATTGTGTCCACAATCCCGCACACAGGTCTAATGAAGAGATAGCCCAAGTGCGTGCCAAGGCAAGCTCTGAGAGCATCGCACTGCACGCCAGTCTGAGAAAAGAGCAGATGAAGGTGGAGTCGCTCGAAAAAGCGGTGCTTCAAAAGGTAACATGAAAGGAATCAGAATTATAGTTAAATTGTAATGTAAAAAACCTAATGACAAAATAATTTATGCCTAATTAATATGCCCATTTGCCTCAAAATACTTAGCTATGTCCATTTCTGTTGTTAAAATTCAGAAAAAATATACTTTTATTCTAAGCCAACTTTTGATCATAGTAAAACACTATACCAATAAGTTCCTGAACTAATCTCCGAAAATAAAAGTTTCTCAAAAATGACTAAAAATACATTAATTTGCCTTAAAATACTTAGCTATGTCCAGTTCTGTTGTTAAAAATGAGACAAAATAGACCTTTTTGGTACTCCAACTTTTGATCCCAGTAAAATACTATACCATTAATTTCCCGAACAAATCTCCGAAAAAAAAAGTTTCTCAAAAATGACTAAAAATACACTAATTTGCCTTAAAATACTTAGCTATGTCCAGTTCTGTTGTTAAAAATGAGACAAAATAGACCTTTTTGGTACTCCAACTTTTGATCCCAGTAAAATACTATACCATTAATTTCCCGAACAAATCCCCGAAAATAAAAGTTTCTCAAAAATGACTAAAAATACACAAATTTGCCTTAAAATACTTAGCTATGTCCAGTTCTGTTGTTAAAAATGAGACAAAATAGACCTTTTTGGTACTCCAACTTTTGATCCCAGTGAAATACTATACCAATAATTTCCCGAACAAATCTCCGAAAAAAAAAGTTTCTCAAAAATGACTCAAAATACACTAATTTGCCTTAAAATACATAGCTATGTCCATTTCTGTTGTTAAAATTCAGAAAAAATATACTTTTTAGGTACGCCAACTTTTGATGACAGTGAAATACTATACCATTAATTTCCCGAACAAATCTCCGAAAAAAAAAGTTTCTCAAAAATGACTAAAAATACACAAATTTGCCTTAAAATACTTAGCTATGTCCAGTTCTGTTGTTAAAAATGAGACAAAATAGACCTTTTTGGTACTCCAACTTTTGATCCCAGTGAAATACTATACCAATAATTTCCCGAACAAATCTCCGAAAAAAAAAGTTTCTCAAAAATGACTAAAAATACACTCATTTGCCTTAAAATACTTAGCTATGTCCATTTCTGTTGTTAAAATTCAGAAAAAATATACTTTTTAGGTACGCCAACTTTTGATGACAGTGAAATACTATACCATTAATTTCCCGAACAAATCCCCGAAAATAAAAGTTTCTCAAAAATGACTAAAAATACACTAATTTGCCATAAAATACTTAGCTATGTCCATTTCTGTTGTTAAAATTGAGAAAAAATATACTTTTTAGGTACGTCAACTTTTGATCCCAGTGAAATACTATACCATTAATTTCCCGAACAAATCTCCGAAAAAAAAAGTTTCTCAAAAATGACTAAAAATACACTCATTTGCCTTAAAATACTTAGCTATGTCCAGTTCTGTTGTTAAAAATGAGACAAAATAGACCTTTTTGGTACTCCAACTTTTGATCCCAGTGAAATACTATACCATTAATTTCCCGAACAAATCTCCGAAAAAAAAAGTTTCTCAAAAATGACTAAAAATACACTAATTTGCCTTAAAATACATAGCTATGTCCATTTCTGTTGTTAAAATTGAGAAAAAATATACTTTTTAGGTACGTCAACTTTTGATCCCAGTGAAATACTATACCATTAATTTCCCGAACAAATCTCCGAAAAAAAAAGTTTCTCAAAAATGACTAAAAATACACTCATTTGCCTTAAAATACTTAGCTATGTCCAGTTCTGTTGTTAAAAATGAGACAAAATAGACCTTTTTGGTACTCCAACTTTTGATCCCAGTGAA